AGCTCTTCCTAAGTCTAACAACTGGGTGAGGTGGATGGATAGATAGAAGAAGAATTTAAATAATCCTTAGATTTCGGTGGCTGGCGCTCTCAAAGTAATAGTAATAGAGAGTTGATTGGTTCAGCCCGAAGCATCAGTATGACTGCAATTCAGAGTATGAATCCTGGAGCCAAACTGCCTTTGTTTGAATCCTGGCTCCACCATTTCTAGCCCTGTTGATTTGGTCAAAATATTATTTAGTTTCTCAGTCCACTTGTACTTTTATCTGTAAAATGGAGATGACAATAAATAGCAACTTTTTTGGAGTGTTCTGAGATTTAAATAATACATTCTTTTAAAGCAGTGCCAGGCACAAGTTAAGAACGCAAATTGCTATACAATTATGATTAAGCATTACCTATTTTAATTTTCTAATATTTTTTCTACCTCTGAAAATTTACTATTACACAGGCTAAGCATAAACTCCCTATTACATTCACCCCTTTATGGAATTATGGTGGTTTTACATTGCTCTGGATAAACTCTGCCCTTATCTTCGGCTATCATCTAAAATGTTTATTCTGTTGGATACAAAGACTTACTTTGCTACCAGACTTTCCATATTCTACCTTGCTTCCCCATTTGCCAAAGAGGGAGAAAGAAAAACAAAAAGGGATTTTTCTCCCCTCCCTCCAACCCTCCTTCGTGGCCCCCCACCCACCAACCCCACCACACACAGAGTTATATTGGCACTGATTTATCTTCAGATGAACATAATAAGAAAACATGAATAAGGACTTTTAGTCTCCCACATTTGAACTTTGGACACAACTTTAAACAAATTTGGCATATGTTAGCCATATGTTTAAATGTCAGCCAAGTAGTTAAATGTCTAATATTTAAACATAAGCTGCAAAGTTTAGAATTGCAGTAGAAAATTCCCTTTTTGTTCAGAGCTGGACTCACACAGTGGAGTTTTATGTCATATGATTTGAAGGGCACCAGACAGCCTTTTTCCCCTGTCCAAAGAATATCCCCTTTTGCCCTCCTGTTCTCAATGTCTCTTCCTTTATTAATTTTTTTGGGGAAAATGACAAGGAGTTGCATGCTAAAGCAAGTTGGATTACTTTCTTTGGAAGGAGGATTAGGAAGCAGGAAAACAGCCAATATATTGGAATACTTCAGTTGAGTAAGGGGAAAGATGGGGGGGAAAAAAGATATAAGTCCCTGAATTAGTGTTTGCCCATATGATTCTCTTGCTGAAAGAGTTTCTGTTTTCATTTATTTCTAAAATTCTTTTCAGACAGATTGATTCAGTATAGGCTCCCCTATATTATCGGGCAAGTAATGGTTGCCTTTTAAAAATATGAAACCATCAAGACTACTAAGAACCAAATAGTATGCTAATATAAACAAGGACAGGGACATTTCCCCTTGACAAATGATCTAACACTTAATGTCTGTGATATTGAATGAAAAATATATTCACTTAATGGAAAACGGTAGAGTACCCAGTATACAAGCATAAATTAAACCTTTGTTTCTTCAAAAGTGATGTTGTTTCTTTCTTTCCCTTGTTGATGTCAAATAAATGCAGGTATAGAAGGAAATTCACAAAGTATCTGCAAAGTCCTTGAGGCTCCAACTCATACTCAGCTATGAGAGCCTGACCAGACGAAATCTCACTATTCAAGATTTTTTTTTTATAGTTTTTATTTATTTTCCTTTAAAACTGTCTTATCTGCTGTCAGTGTTTCTTCTGGTTGGTGTTTGCATGATACATTTTTTTCTGACCTTTAATTTTCCTGTATGTTTATGATTTTGCTGTATCTCTTACAAAGAAACTTACAATTATATGTATTTTAAAGTTCAGCCTGATTGTTGTCTTTTAATTACCTCTCCTAATCATCTGTGGTTTAATTACTGATATTTTTAGGTGTAATTCCACCACTTTCTATTCAAGATGTTTTATTTCCACTTTTTCTCACTTGCACCAGGAACAAAGAATGGCAACAGACTAAAGTTTTTCTGGTTTCAATTTCGCTTTGGAAAAGCATTTGTATTTTGGTAAAAGTGTTAATTTATAATGTATCCATTGGTCTTATTCCTATATGAACCCGTCTTTTGGGGCCTTAAGATTTTTGTTTCGTTTTGTTTTGACTTTAAGCTAAGGCTGTCTTGACTAGGAAGATACAACAATGTACCGTTTGAATCATTATGTTCACATGCAGGTAGAAGAGATTTTTAGTCATCTGGTTACAAGTTTTTTTTTTTTATTGAGTTACAGTCAGTTTACAATGTTGTGTCAATTTCTGGTGTACAGCACAATTCTTCAGTCATACATGAGTATACATATACGGCTACAAGTGATCTTTTAGCTACATGGGGAAATTCTGACTCCATGAGGGCTGGTTAAGCCAAGGTGTGGTAAGTTGGCTTTGCTTTAAGACTATGAATTGTTTGTGGAACGAAGGAAGTGTAGACTAGAAACACTGTAAGTTAAAAACTTAATTCAGCTGTGGATGTGGTAAAGAAAAAACACAGATAGCAAACCTTGAGTCTTGAAGTTTGACTGACTTTGGTTTTAATCTTGGCTCGTAGTTAGGTAACTTTGGGCAAGTTACTTAAAGTTTTGAATGCCTATTTCTTTTTTTTTTAATGGAGATATGAAAATACTCCTCAAGGACTAGTGTAAGGAGGTAATGAAACAAAGCATGGGAAATAAAAGTTGGTTGTAGACCATCAATAAATAGTAGATGCTAATACTACAATTTTAGATTTCCAGATTTTCTCTAATCCACTTACTCTCACCATCATGATTATTCTGTACATTCCCTACTTGCTTTTATTCATGCATTTGATGAATTAAATCTCATTATTCTGAAAATGTGTAAAAGAAGATTCAAACTAGTTCTTTCAACTGTCTTTTTTTGTAAGTTTGCTATATTACTAACATATGAATATTTAATAGTCAAATGGAATTCTCCAAAACATCTTGCTTTGTAAAACATTCATGGGGCAGGTCTTGTCTCATTGACTTTGGGTATCTTCTCATAATTTATCTTATTGTAACTTAATAAGTTGGTGAATATTTTGAATGTTGGAATCTTTATTCAACAGCTGTTAGTTTCCTAAATTCACAGGAACATCCCATGTTTGTCATTACCACCCTTTTGGAAATGAGATTTAAGCAACAGTTAGATATATATGAATATAAATAATGTACTTTTTGTAGGGTTTATCACTTGCATTTACTTTAGAAATACTGTAAGAAGAAAGCCAGGGAAAGGCCAGGGGAAGGAACAGTACCTTGATAATTATACTCTCCATTTTGAACTAGACTCTGTCCTATCAAAATTTTTCAGTGTGTTTGTCAGAAGGGAATTAAGAAGGGTAAGAGTCTTCATTAAGATAAAATCAACTAAATTCATGTAAGTGATAAAACTACTTTGCAGATTCAATTGAGACCCCAAGGAGCTAAGTTTGGGGGAATTTATTAAAACATCCCTAGGATGGTGTGGAGCTTGCATGTTCGGTTCATAAATTGATGTTCTAACTAAGGTTCAGCGCTAAGAGAAAGCAGCTATCGTAATGGAAGTCTTCTGTGGGCTATAGATTTAAAATACATATTTTCTTTCCTTTTTTCTCTCTTTTTTTTAACTGAAGTACAGTCAGTTATAATGTATCAATTTCTGGTATACAGCATGATGTCCCAGTCATGCATGTACACACATATATGCATTTTCATATTCTTTTTCATTAAAGATTATTACAAGATATTGAACATAGTTCCTTCCCTGTGCTATTCAGCAGAAACTTTTTTTAA